TGGCACACTTCAGCAGCATGGGTGGTTTTTCCATGTATCAGGCAAACAAAGGTAACCCAAGTTTTCCTTCTAAAGAGGCAGAAAAAGCTGGAGACATTAACTAGGGTATCATGCAATAACATGACTCATTATTGCATAACTAAGGTAAATCTGGATATATTTTATTATCCATCCCTCTTAAAGGAAATGTAGAAACAATTTGAGCTTCTTTAGATTTCACATATTTTCCAGATATTTTTTAGCTTCACCTAAAAAATGTTTATGTTTTCCTCCTCCCTTTTTCTAAATTGTGACTCAAGTTCTCAGAATACAGAGGAGAAAAGAAGGCCTTTCCTGGAGAGTTTTGGCATGACTGACTTTATGAGAAAAACCTACAGATATTTGCCTTTACAATAGTCATCCCAAATGCTCCAGTGTGTAATAGGATCTGTAGGATGAGACTACATTGTGGCCATGCAGCAAATTTGGAAGGTCTGTTCCAAGCATGTCTGTGTTTACCATCTGTGTGTTCTACAAACATTCCAAATAATTGCACTGATGCCTGTGACACTGCATTGATTTTAGTGATCAGAATGCTAAATTCAGGAAATAAAATCATCACCATTATTGGCAGCTTTATCAATCAAATGAAAGCTCTGATGTTTTCCAAGGTTGCATAAACCTCTGTCCTATTATGAGCTCATTCTCAGATTAAACACAGCTCATGAGAGTTTAATGTGTTAACTCTGCTTCATGATATTTCCTACCAGTGTGTAATTTCTTCTCTAATAGGCCAGAGACTCTTATGTCCACACAAGTCTTTAATAAAACGTTTTTTAAATTCTAAAGGCACTACCTTGACCTTTACTGAAATCAAAAGTATAGAGAAAATTAGGATATTCATTCCAAAAACTCCTTTCAAAAGTTAAATTTCTCCGAATAAAAGGTCACACTTTATTATCTATAAAATTATTACTATGTCAATCAAATTTGCTCTTACGCAATGTTTGAATTATGTTTGGGAAGGTAAAATAACTGTTTAGATAAGAAATAGCATAACTCATACTTAACTACCTTTCTCTGCTGTTAATTTGATAACACTGAAAATAATATTACTAAGTTGAAAAATAATATTATAAACAACTAAAATCTGTCCTGCGGTAGGATGATTACTTTGTCTATGGTTCAATCATGGTTATTGTCCTTTTGTTAAAGAACAATTTTGTGATTTACTGAAAAAAGATACAGATGTGATGGATCAAGAACTACCAAGCATGAAGCTCCTGGTTTTAGTTCTGACAGAAATCTTCAACATTCTACAAGTAAGAAGAATTCCCTGGCACTTGTCCCTGGCACCGAAGCGTGATATCAAGAAGCCAGAGCCTGCTGAATCCCATGACAGCTTCTCTGTTGACATCAGTGAAAGGGTGTGAAAAAAGTATCACTGGGAGTTTTGTTTTCAGCTGTCCCCACACCTCACCCAAGCTAGCACAGGAATAAGGTCATTTTAAAAGGAGGGCATCATGGAATACGATGGGACAACAATGTATTTTGTGTAATTATATAAACTCTACATGCTGTGAACACTAATGGAAAACAATACATTTATTTACTAGTTTAGTGGATGTGGAAAGTCCTATAGCAAGGTCTAAAGTCCAAAATTTTCTTTGATTTTAGACCCTTGCTTTATTATAAATACTGTTAATAGTTAGTACTCAGCTCTCAGACATCCTTCCACAGTAAGCATCACATTTGCAATCCTTTCCATGGGCAACTAACCATGTTAACACTGCTGAAACTCCTCCAGTGCTGCTGGAAATGAGGTGGGGGAAGGTGGATTAGGCATTGTTGATGAGGCCACATGGACATGCAGAGCTCTAGCTGCCCTGGTTTGCCTGGGAAGGCTGGGAGCACCTGTTTGGAGCTGGGCCTGGCCTGAAGTGTTCTCTGCTGTGCTGAGAGCTGGGCTGTACTGCACAGGGGACATTACCTGAGCTCTTCTCTATTTCCCAGTTAAGAAAAGAACATCTAAGGCAGCTTAGATTGCCTCAATGCACATCCCAACACATCTCAGATTTCATTTAGAGATGATAGCCCAAAGAAAATAATAACCTACACTGAATGCTTTTCAAAAAAGTATCTCTGATTAAGTACGTTGGGTTTTTTTTCCACTCTCTCCCTTTTCACCCCCAGTCTGTCAGCCCAAGCAACTGACTTGCTCTATTGGAAATGGCTCTGAATTTTCAATTTACCACCCTACCTCATTTGGCAATTCTTAATCCTGCCTTTGGCTGCCCTCTCACATGGAAGTCCTAACCATGCTCACTGGTATTAGGCTACACTTCCTAACCTGAAGAAAGAGATTTGCAGCTGTGAGCAGTGCTGCTTTAAAGAGGACACATCCAGTTATGTTCAATTGGATTTTTTTCCTTTATAAGTTAACACAACTGCCTTTTGAAGGCCTGAAAGAATTCCTATTCATTTCATGTTATTCTGCCACAATTTGGCCTGTCACCTAATGCAATATCCCTTTTCAAGATGGACATTAGCTATGATGGCTAGAAAAAAGAAGTGGGTTTCACAGCTTTGCTAATTAGCATTGTCAGTGACCTGGATATAAGTCGGGGAACATCTTCCACGGTTGTGATCAGTCCCAGTTAAAACTGCAGGGGACAAGGCAGCCTGCCCCAAACTACACATTGAAATAAAATATAAAACTTCCTTGACTGCTTCAGCCATAGAGTTCAGGCTGAGAGTTAAGCCTGGCAGGGACAGCCTGGCTCCCTGTGCAAAGGGCAACAGGGGCAGAGCAGGTGGCAGGGGTGTCCTGGAGCTGCCTGGAGCCAGGGGGGCTCCCAGCAGGGCCCAGCACCCCACCCCTGGCCAGGGATGACCACAGGCAGGCTCTGGGTGTGCTGAGGCTCCAGGGGAACTTCTGCTCAACTCCCACAGATTCCATTCTTACATATTTATACAATGTTTTCAGTTACCAACCTGCCTCTAAGTTGAATGTGTTTCAGAAGCTGTTTGGTAGCTCACCCAGGGGGTGAAGCAGACCACAAGGTTAGTGTCAGCTACTTAGCTTCTGCTTTTTATTGCCACTTCCACGTGTGGCTGAGTGACATATAGAGAAATAATACAATACTCCTGAATGATCATTATTAACACCATAGCATGACAGTACTAAATTCACACATGTGGTTTCTAATTGCTCCATTCAAAGAAGTCACTACTGTTGGAGTAGATTAGTTCCTGTGCTACCAGCACTGCAGAACTACAAATAATCACAGTAGCAGCCCCTTGAATTAGATGCCGACTCAGCACCTCAACTGAACAGGATTCCTTCACTCTGACCATGTTAAGTATTTTCCCTTGCTCTGCTGCTCAGCACACAGACACCTTTCTCTTCTCTTGTTTTTCCAGAATGAAAAATATCTGGGAATTAAGAGGGGTCACCTAGCAGTGAGGTTCTTGGCTTAGAACAGGTAAGCAATGCTTGTTTTTGCTTTAAATGGAACACAAAGGTATAGTGAATAATCCACTGTCATTCAGACTGGAATCCACAGCTGGAAATATTCAGCCTCTGCTTTCATCTATTCATAGAATACCAGGCTGGAAGGGACCTCAAGGATCATCTGGTCCAACCTTTCTAGGTACTGCTATAGTTGATAAGAGATGGCTCAGCACCCTGTCAAGCTGAGACTTAAAACTGTCCAATGTGGGGGAATCCACCACTTCCCTTGGGAGACTACTTCAATGTTTGATTGGTCTCATGGTGAAAAATTTACCTCTTGTGTCCAATTGAAATCTCCACATGAGCAACTTTTGTCCATGATCCCTTGTCTTTTCCATGTGACTCCTTGTAAATAGGGAGTCTCCATCTTCTTGAGAGTCCCCCCTTTAAATACTGGAACATGGTAAATAAGGTTTCCCCGAAGCCTTCTTTTCTCAAGGCTGATCAAACCAGGTTTGCTCTCCTTGTATGTCGAGGATATTTGATTCTACCTTTAAAACATAAGCAGCTCTGCCTTTTGCTAACCCCTCAATAATGTTCTCCCAAATTTTCCCTTTCAATATAAGATGACATTTCTCAGTGTATCAGATTTTAAGATGCCTTTCAAAAAATCTTTATCTGATAGCAAGCAAAAGACAGAAATAAGTTTAGTGCTACATTTTTCCAGGGAAATTTCCTCAGAAAAAGATGTGAATATCTAAGTCAATCACCATCTCAGCAGAATTTTTTTATACTTCAGCGGTGTTTTCTTTTTCCTGTCAGGCCCTGCAAATGTTCCCTGAATCTTGTGGTTACAAAAAAGTAGAATTAGTCTTCTAAAAAGAACATTTTACAATTCATCACCAGGGCTAAACCAGCTGCAGCTGTGAAAAAGCCTTTGCATATGAGCCATTACATTACAGAAAAATTATTTTATTTATCTTGTGCCTTTAGCTCTGGAGATTTGGAAAGTGCAGGATTTTCTCTTTCATTCTCTCCTCTAAAGTCACTCACTGAATTTTTACTACATAATTTAATTTTTTATTATATTTGACAAAAGGAACTTTAATCCACACAATATGTAAAAAATGTTGCATTTTAACAAGGGGTTTTACTTATGTTTTTATTGTCTCTGTCACTGTATGGAATAGAACTCAGGGTTATCAGGGATGAATTGTTATTGGTATTTAGGTGCCTTGGGCTTACCAACTGCTCAAATATAATGAAGAAATTAAGTCTGATAAAGAAGATTTATTATTTTCCAAGACTGTTCATGGACTGTGCATCTAGCATTAAGATCTCAGTGTAAGAATAAATGTGTGAGTCATAACCTTAACTCAAAGCTGTTCTACGTTTTAAGTTAATTCCCCTCAATTCTGTTTGTCACAAAGGTGTCCAATACCTTTACGAGCCCACCTTGCCATGTTCTGAAGCATGTGCTTTCCATGTGCACTTTTCTGAACAGAAAATGTCAATCAGGGACAGAAGTAATGTAGAGTACTGAGTATGGTCCATACAAGGTACTCACCACTGTCTATTGCCAGGAAAAGAGCTGTGTACACGTTGTTCTGAACGTAGGGAGACTCCCGGTCCAGGATTGCAGTGGTGCCAATGGTACCATTGGTGGGGTTAATTTCTAACCAGCCTGCTGGGTCCTTGTACACTGAATACCTAAAAAAAAAAGCCATGGAAGTTGTTAACAAATTATATATCTAGACATAGAACAATTACATTACTACAAATAATAGTTTTTGCACACTCTGGTTTTCACAGGCTGTGCCTCTGAATACTTAAATATAATTTAAACCTTGTGCCTTCCCTTTGAGCCAGCCCATTATTCTCAGGCTTACGTGACAGATGGAGTTACAGAGAAGGGTACGGGTCCACCTCTTTGGATACACATGTCCCAAAGCTTTGTATATCATGTGGGACCTGTTCCCTACGCTGTTACACAGCTGGAATACCTGACCACTTGCCATGGATCTCTGCATCAACACTGCTATTTGTGGAGTTCATGAATCCTCTCATACTCCTCCTTTTTCCAGACTCAAAATTCTGGCTGGAATAGGAGATATATTAATTTTTTTTGAGTGTTCTTAATTTTTTTCCTTACAAATAGTTCTTTTGGGTGAAGGTGGAAATGTAATAAATGGTGGGGCAGAGAGTTAGACTGTGCATTCGCATGGTCGAGCAGGAGCTGGTTCCATGCAGACCTGGTTTGCATACATTAGCTCTGCAGTCTGTGATCTCTGGTTGTCCGGTTCTGATGATTTCAAATAGATGCTCAGAATCTTGGAATAATTCAATCACATACATGTTATCTGAATGAACAACTGCCCTACTTGACAGGACTTATAAACATAAGAATAGTCATGATTAGGGCCTAATTCTGTACTCAAACATATTAAGTTATATAACAACACAAAGCTGAATTATCTGGTACCAATTCCCTCTCCAATGAAATGTGTTAATATTTTAAACCAAAACTCTAATCATATAATCTATACTCAGTATAACAGCCTGTTTATCTTTTTTTTTAGTGAATTGTTATAGCTCATAAACAGCCATACAATCTTTTATAGACATTTTAAATTATAAATAATTGACAAGAAACCTGTTACTGTGTAATGAGTATGTGCCTGGCCAGTCCCTTAGAGTGGCATTCATCTGAAAGGTGTTCTATGTGATAATGCTGCCAAAAATAATCAGTACAGCTATTTCCTGAGTTAATAATCAAAGCCAACAGAATGTTGGGGGGTTAAAAACCCACAAAAAACCCAAGAAAATGAAATAAAATAGCAGTTGCTAGAAAAGGAAAAAAATAAATTGCAAGCTAACAAAGACAGACATGGTCTCATTGCATGCTCATTTCAGAGGCTTGATCTTTCAGTGCCCTCTGGAAAGCAAAAAAGTAAATTGTGGTTAGTTGCTGAATCCCTCTGGCACTGTTCAGGGATGTCCAGTATCACAGAGTAAGGACCAGCCAGCAACACACAGGCAAGGTGCAGCTGCCCTGTCCAGCTGCCTCCAACCCCCCTGTCCTGCTCTCAGACCTCACAGCCCCATGTAACTCATGCTTTTTCTCTGTCCAGCTGTTTTAATCAGGCAGAGTTTGACAACTTTGGACTTTCTCTGGGATCTCAGAACAGCAGGCAGAGCCACAGCTCTGAGCTGTCAGATGTCCGAGACGGCCATTAGCATCATTCATTATTCATGCAGCAAATTGCACTGTGTTTGAGCAGTAGGTCTGGTCATTGGCTGAAGGTGGAAGAAAAACTAAAGGAAATTACCTAGTACATGGCTCAGGCTTAAATAAGAGGCACTGTAGAAGACAATTGACTGAACTGATGAATGGAACTCTGCCATCCCTCATCTCAGAAGCTCCCCCTCCAACATTTGAAACACTGCCATGGGAAAGTGTCATTAAGAAAAGATAGGTTGTATTTCCCCCATGCTAGTTAGGAAAGATTAGAACAGATTTAACTTCTAATAGCCTTTGAATAATACATTTTGGGCAGGATGAAAAGTTAATTGTTAAAAAGGGAAAAGTTCTGGGCAGATTGGTTTCCTCATGGATAAAGGGGGCAGTGCACATACAGGAACTCACACCTGGCACATACAAGACAGAAACATAGATCTATTTTCACAGCCCACAGAACAGGTTTCTGTTATAACTGGATCCGCTGAAAGCAGAGCAAGACTTGAATTTATGCCTCAGAAAGCACAAGGCTCCAAAATCCCTATGAATTTGCCATGTGGCCCACAGGTCCCTTTAAACTCTTCTGTAGATTGACATTATACTTCAAAGATCGATAAAGTACTCGTTTCAAAAGCATGATAATCCAAAGAAAAAATACTGAGTTTTATCTCTGAGAAACAAAATTGCTTTTAGCAGAAAGTCTTCTCTTGATTCATCAGAGAAATACATCTCACCAAAAAAAAAAAAAAAAGAATCTAAAAAAAAATAAATCATCAGTAGCTTCAAAATTTCTTTGGTGTCCCTCTAGGGGAAGTGATATTATCCTACAGACAACGAAGGTGGCTGAATTCTGAGGTGTCAACAGGCAGCACAGCCCACATGGCTGCTGTTCTGTACCAGGACTTTGCTTCAAGATAATGTTTGTATTGAAAAATGCTCCTTCCTTGGGGCTGCTGAACCAGTTCAGGCAGCCTGTTTCAGGAAAAAAAATTTAATATATACAGCCATGATTTAATATATACAACATTTTTATGAGCTATTACTACATTAAAATCAATTAAAGGACAAATCTGGTAACCAGTTTCACCAGTGGGGCTTCCCTAGGAGCAGAAATTATCCTATAGGAAATGTGTGAAAAAGAATCAAAGGTTAAAACTAGTGCACAATGTAACATTCCATCAGCCTTACATGTCCTTCAACTTAATAACCATTTAAACATTAATCAATACCCGAGCTTTATCTCCCATAAAAATGAGTTACTAAAATAGTAACAATGCAGATCATTATTTCATTTCATTTCTTTGTGGGTTTTTTTTTCATTGTTGTTTTTATAACTTTGCACAAAGGTATGCCCAAAAATATGAAACAAGGGCAACCTAAACAATTCCTACTCTATTGTAAAACTGTGAATTCTCAATTAACCCCAAAACAATTTAAGAAGATTCAACACTTCTAAAGTAATGAGAATTTAAAATGGATTTTATTATCCTCTCCTTGATTGCTCTGCAAAGCTCTGTTGGCTGTGCAAATAAAAAACGGAATTGTATAACCTGTGATTTGGCACAGGATATCATAAAAGTAGTACTTTGTCATTCCCACCACATATTTTACTTATTTTAAGAGTATATTGCAGTACAGTTAAGATGATTGTTCTTAGTTCATTTTTTTGAAGACTGTGATAGCAAAACATTTAGAAGAGACTCATTAAGAAAAGCACTATAAAAAACAGAACTATAGAATACAAAGCTTCACTTCCTACTTCTAACTTTTGTGGGATCTGCTGCTTGCACAGCAGTTTTGAAAATCAGAACATCTTTTTAAGTGGTTACACATGAGCTTAGCATGTCTGCATGTACTTACTCAGATTTGAAAATCATAAGCACACTGATCCATCTGTGTTAGTATGTGCAGAACTGTGTTCTCTAGTGTGCCAGTTCCTCTTTATTTTGGACTTAACTGTACATTGCAGTAGTGCCATCACAGAATCACAGAATGGCAGGGATTGGAAAGGACCTCTGGAGATCATCAAGTCCAATCTCCTGCCAGAGCAGGATCACCACAGAATCTAGGGCAGGTCACTCAGAAGCACAACCAGACAAGTCTTGAAAGTCTCCAGAGAAGAAGGCTCCAGACCTCTCTGGGCAGCCTGTTCCAGTACTTCCTCACATTGAGGTGGAACTTCCTGTGCTCTAGTTTGCATCCACTGCCCCATATCCTATCACAGGGCATGACTGAAGAGAGACTGGCCCCTCCTTCTTAATGCCCACCCTTCAGATATTTATATACATTAATAAGATCCCCTTCTCAATCTTCTCTTCTCTAGACTAAAAAGCCCCAGGTTCTCAGCATCTCCTCATCAGACAGGTGTTCCAGTCCCTCTGTCATCCTTATAGCCCTGTGTAGTGCTGCTTTTTGGAGTTACTTTATTTCACTCTGTTTTGGGTCCCCAACTCTGCTTATAGTGATGAGGAGATATTTCTGCCATAAAGAGCTGTTAAAAGCATAAAACCTACAAATATTGCAAAAGGGCTGGACTAAAACAGCATTGTGCTTCATATGCTTTATATATGAAGGATGTAATGTTGAGCTTTAGAGATCAACCTGCTTCCCATTGTGCTATCATTACTTTAGCCTGCACTAATTATGGCAGCATATGGCACCAGGAAGACTAGAAAGTAAAAGTTCTTGCAATACAGCAACTCTGCAGTTCAGATATACTCCAGGTTCAGTAATGATGACACACTGCAATTTTTCTGCTATTTGACTACATGATAACAAAGGTATTCCTGCTCCCATCCTGTTCCAGGTTACAAGCTTTGGGAGAGCAACTTACATTTCATATTTGTATATTCAGAGCCCTGCAGAGCAGTGTCTCTAATTACTGACCTGAGCTGAATGAAAACAGTAACAGTAATTCTGTCATCTGTATTACATCAGATGCCATCTAACTACATTTACTTTGGATTTTGTGTAGATATTTTTAATGCAACTTCCAGGCTCAGGTTTTTTTAGTTTAAAACGTGTGTGTCAGTGAAGTCACTGAAGGAATGTCTTTGGAGCAGTTGTGGCTCTGCACTTTTCAGATATTGAAAAAGAATGCTGATGAATAAATTTTATTCATTTCAAGGTGACAGTGAATATACAGATTTGCTTTCCATTTCATACCCACATTTAAAACTACTGCCTCAAATCTGCTGCTGCAGTCCCTGAACACTATGTTGTGCAGGTCAGTAACACATGATCCATGGTCCTCATGTTCACTGACAAGCATGTCCTAACAATAGAAAGGAGGCATTCTTAGGGATAACTGAATTCACCACATTACCAAAACATTCTGGCAATGAAATAGATTTACCTTAGCACACACTAGCTTAGGATATACTACGAGTGAGCAGTTCTGTTGGAAGTCAGTGATGCAAAAGGGTTTTTCATACCTCCTTTCAATACTGCTTCCTCATGTGCTTTCCCATTT